ACTGTCTTTGCATTTGTTTAGGTTGTCTTTAATTTCTTTGAACCATACTCTTGTTAGCTTCCACTGTACAAGTGTTTGGGCCCCTTAGTTATATGTATCCTTGAGTATTTTTTGATGATGCTGTTGCCAATGGAATTTTTCATAATTCAGTTTTGGATTGCTCATTGTTTGTGTATAGAAATGCCACTCATGTTTCTGTATATGTATTTTGCTTCTTTCAACTTTGCTGAATAGTTGATTATTTTCAGCAGTTTGCTGTTTGGTTGGTTCTTCACGGTGTCCTATATGTTAACGTGTCATCTATAAAGATATTTTTATCTTTTTCTTGCCTGCCTGTACTTTTTTCTTTTTTCTTTTACAGATAGAGTTAGACAGTGAGAGAGACAGACGGAGAGAAAGGTCTTTGTTCTGTTGGTTCACCCCCGAAATGGCCAGTACGGCTGGCGCTGTGCCGATCTGAAGCCAGGAGCTGGGTGCTTCCTCCTGGTCTCCCGTGCGGGTGCAAGGCCCAAGCACTTGGCCATCCTCCACTGCCTTCCTGGGCCACAGAGAGCTGGACTGGAGGAGGAGCAATTGGGACTAGAACCCGGCACCCATATGGGATGCAGGTGCCGCAGGTGGAGGATTAACCAAATGAGCCACAGCGCCGGCCCCACCTACCTGTACTTTCAAGAACTTGCAGGACTGTATGGAAAGCAGGCCTCTTTGTCTTGTTCCTGATCTTGGATGCACAGCCTTTTACTTTCATCATTTGGAGTTTTTATGTATGGCCTGTATCAAGCTGAGGAAGTCCCCTTCTGTGACTGGCATACTGAGTGGTGTTTTGTTGTATTGTTGTTGTTGTTGGTTTTTTGCTGTGAAAGGGTGTTGAATTTTGTTAAATGCGTTTTCTGCCGTGAGGCTACCATGTGACCCCACTTTGATTCTCATAGCCCATTCCCTGGATTGGTTTGTGTTGAGCCATCCTTGCATTCCAGAAAGCCCAGCCACAGAATTGGTGACTCAGTAGAATTTTGGTGCTCTCCAAGACACTGTGAATTACTGTCAGAGTTGGAGTACCTATGCTGCAGCAAGGAATGACAGGTGACAAGCTTCCCTGGCCTCCACAACTCTTTTTTTTCTTTTTTAATATTTATTTATTTGAAAGGCAGAGTTATAGAGTCAGAGGCATAGAGTGAGAGATCTTCTATCCAATGGTTCACTCCCCAAATGGCTACAATGGGTGGAACTGGGCCCATTCGATGCCAGGAGCTTCTTCTGGGTTCCCATGGGGATACAGGGGACCAAATTCTTGGGCCATATTGTGCTGCTTCCCCAGGCCATAGCAGAGAGCTAGGTGGTAAGCAGAGCAGCCAGGACTCTAACCGGTGCCCATATGGGATGCCAGCACCATAGGCGGTAGCTTTACCCAATATGCCACAGTGCCGGCCTTAGGTAACTCTTTTTTTTTTTTTTTTAAAGATTTATTTTTTATTTGAAAGTCAGGTAACAGAGAGGCAGAAGCAGAGAGAGAGGGGTCTTCAATTCGCTGGTTCACTCCCCAGATGGCTGCAACAGCCAAAACTGCGCCAGTCCGAAGCCAGGAGCCAGGAGTTTCCTCTGGGCACTGTAGGCGGCGGCTTTACCTGTTATGCCACAGCGCCGGCCTTCGTTGACTCTTGAAGTAGCCACGACGGGGAGATCTGGGCCAGGCTGAAGCCAGGAACTCTTGTCTTGGTCTCCCAAATGGGTGGCAGCAGCCCGAACACTTGGGCATCTTTTTGCTGCCTTACCAGGTACATGAGCAGGATGCAAAATTGGAAGTAGAGCAGCTTGGATTCCATTGGGTGCTCTGACATGGGATGCTAGCATCAGAAGTGGTAGCTTAAACTCCTGTGCCGGGACACTGGCCCCTTTCCAATTTTTATGTTTTTTTTTTTTTTTTTTTTTTTTTTTTTTTTTTGAGAGAGAGACAGGTGTTCACTCCCTAAATTGCCACATACCACAATGCCAGACCCTCTTTTTCCAGTTTTTAAAAGGAAATCTAGAAAGCTGGTTTTTGTGTGATAGTTTCCCGTGTAAAAAACAGTGGTTGAGGGGCCAGTGCTGTGGCGTACCGGGTAAAGTCGCCATCTGCAATCCCAGTGTCTTATATGGGCACCAGTTCAAGTCCCAGTTGGTCTACTTCTGATCCAGCTCTCTGCTTATGATGGCCTGGGAAAGCAGTAGAAGATGGCCCAACAGCTTGTGCCCCTGCACCCGTGTGGGAGACCCTGAAGAAGCTCCTGACTCATGGCTTTGGATTGGTCCAGGAAGGGCAGTGCAACTCCGGCTGTTGCAGCCAACAGGGGAGTGAGCCAGGGGGTGGAAGACCTCTCTCTCTGCTTCTGCCTCTGCCTCTCTGTAACTCTGCCTTTCAAATAAATAATAAATCTTAAAAAAATAAAAACAAACAACAACAACAACAAAAAAAACAGTGGTTGCATGTAGGCAAAGTGGGTTCAGCAGTGTGTGTGCAGGGCTGCAGCTTGGTGGCAGTGGTAGGACGCTCAGAGTAACCACTGGTGATGTGTGTTCATCATTTTAAAGGCCAAACCTCCAGTGTCTTAGGAAGCAGCAATGGGCTTTCCATATTCAAAAGTCCAGTCCCTAAAATAGTTTTTATCAGCTAAACTCTGGCTGCCATCAGAATCAACTGGAGGGTTATTTTTTAAGATTTATTTATTTATTTGAAAGGTAGAGTTACAGAGAGGCAGAGAGAAAGATAGAGAGGTCTTCCATCTGCTGGTTCACTCCCCAGATGGCCGCTACAGCTGGCGCTGCGCTGATCCAAAGCCAGGAGCCAGGAGCTTCTTCCAGGTCTCCCACGTGGTTGCAGGGGCCGAAGGACTTAGGCCATCTTTTGCTGCTTTCCCAGGCCATATCAGAGAGCTGGATTGGAAGTGGAGCAGCTAGGATTCGAATCAGGGCCCATATGGGATGCTGGCACTGCAGGTGGTGGCTTTACCCACTATGCCACTGCACTGGCCCCCTGGACGGGTTTCAAAAGGCTATCTAGGCCCCACCACAGGTCTCTAAAGTCCAGTAAAGCAGCAGAGGCTCCCAGGTGACTGACACCCAGCCTGGCTTGGTAGACAAGACGTCTCCTGGCCAGTTGCAGGCAGCTGATGAACTCTCGATCAGTTTTCTTCTCTATAGAGGCTGTACCTCAGCAGGCTGATAAGAATTAAAATGAGTCATGAGAGGGGAACCCAGGGCACAGGAAAGAAAAGTTAGAGTGAGAATGACAGGGAGCGAACAGGTAGACAGGCTACAAGCTGCCTTGTGAACCCCCTGAAGTTCAGTGTTGAAGGCCCAGCCTCTATACCCCAGCACAGAACTGTCGTTGGAGATAGGGCCACTGAGTTTGTGATAAAGGTGAAGTGAGGTCTGTGGGTGTCCCCTAAAGTGACCAGTGTCCCGATGGGAGCTTGGGACAGACACAAGGGGAAGACATGAGGAGAGGCCTACGAAACAGCTCTGTTGATACCCACCCTGGCTCCCAAATTGTGAGAAAACAAATTTCTGCTGTTGAAGCACCATGCGGTCTAGTGTTTTTTACAGTAGTCCTGGCACAGGATCCAATCACAGGATGAGTCAATGAAAAAGTGGGATCTGGACGTGGTTTGGGACTTGGTCATGGTCAGTGTTAGGTTCAGGTTAATGACCATCAGAGTTACGGGGAAGGTAAGAGCCAGGGTCAAGATGGTGACAAGATCATTTAAGTGTTAGATGGGTTGAAGTGTGGATGGCAGCTTGTGTCCAAAGGATGATTACCAGCAGGGTTGAGGTACAGGTCAAGGTCAGATAGCAGCATCAGGACTACAGCAGCTATTTCAAGGTCAGGGAAACTGACATAGTCAAGGCAAAAATGTATTGCAGGGTAGAGGTCAGATTTAAAGTCAAGTTCAGAATGAAACCAACCGTAATCAGAATGAGTAAGGTTAGGGTCCGGGTCCGTTCAGAGTCAGTGGCAAGGAAAATCCGAAGTTCAGTGTCACTTCACTCTTGGGCCTTTAAAGGTAAGGGTGGCTCAAGGTCAAGCTTGAATCTTAATGTGCAACGTGGCAGAATGCTGGTCAGCACCACAGAGAAGACTAAGTCCAAAGTCACAAGGACAAGGCTGGGGTCAGGGTGAAGGTTATTTTAAGGCCGAAGCAGCTCAAGGGGCTGGCATTGTGGCACAGTGGGTTAAAGCCCTGGCCTGCAGTGCTAGCATCCCATATGGGCATCGGTTTGAGTCCTGACTGCTCTACTTCCTATTTGGCTCTTTTCTATGGCCTGGGAAAGCAGTAGAAGATGGCTCAAGTGCTTGGGCCTCTGCACCCATGTGGGAGACCAGGAAGAAGCTCCTGACTCCTGGCTTCGGATCAGCTCAGCTCCAGCTGTTGTGGCCAATTGGGGAGTGAACCAGCGGATGGACAACCTCTCTCTGTCTCTCTGGCTCTACCTCTTTCTGTAACTCTCAAATAAAATATATCTTTGAAAAACAAAATAACAAAGCAGCTCAAAAATAGGACTGTCATCTTATGACAGGATGACTAACAAGGTCAGGTTCAAGATCAAGAATACCATTGTAATCCATAAGTCGTACTTTGGAAATTTATATTCATTAAATAAAAGTTAAAAAAAAAAAAAAGATCAAGAATAAACTTAGGGTCTGACACAGCCAGGATAATGCTCAGGCTGTTTCAAATTCGAGGCCACGAAAAACATCAGGGTGTTGGGTTCAGTACGGCAGTTCAGGTTAGTCCTGTCGTTTGGATGCAGTTTGGCCTCCAAGGGCTCCTGTGTTGCAGACTCGGTCCTTAATGTGGTGACGTTGGGAGGAAGAGGTGGACCTGGAGTAGCTGTAGCCTCGCAGGTCACTGAGGTTCTCGTGGGCCTCGGGTTCGTTCTTGCAGGAGGGTTAGGAAGAGAGTAAGCCTGGCCTGGCCTCTCCTTGCCCTGGCTTCTTACCTGGTCCTGTTCTCTCCCTCTAGCATGTGTACCTGCCAATGTGATGCCATCTGCCGGGATGTCCTCACCAGAGCCAAACCAGTGCTGACACCGTGCTCTTGAACCTCCAAAACGGTAAGCAGAGTGAAGCTCTGTTCTTGAGAAAGTCACCCAGTTTTCAGGTGTCTGGTTTTAGTAATGAAAAATGGACTAATACACTTTGTATGGCAAGTTAGAAAATGAGGGCAAAACATGGTCAGGGGAATGCTGAGGGTGAGGACAGGGGTGTCCTCATTAGGGCCAGGATCAATTTCCAAGGCAGAATAATGTCTGTTTCAGGATGTCAGGATTAAGGTCCAGGATCATGGTTAACTCTTGTTCAAGACACGGAGGTCAGATGCTCATGACTCAGGTCCACGTCAGGACATGTGTGGATGTCTCAGGTGAGGGCCAAGGAGTGAGAGAGAGTCAGTCAGTGTGAGAGGTTGCCAAGATGTTCAGAGTTAGGATAAGGGTCAACTTCAAGATGATCAAGTTCAAGGTGAAACTAAGCACTGGCTGTAGTCAGCATGCCGGCCTCAGGTCAGTCTCAAGGTAAAGATCGTTAGTTGGCATTTAGTTTTAAAGTGTGAACAGTAACGAGAGATGGAGATAGATCTTCCATCCATTGGTTCATTCCCCAAATGACTACAATGGCCAAGGCTGGCCAGGCCAAAGCCAGAATCAGGAGCTTCTTCCAGGTCTCCCATATGGGAGGGGCCCAAGCACTTGGGTCATCTTCTACTGCTTTCCCAGGCCATTAGTGGGGAGCTGGATCAGAAGTGGAGCAGCTGGGATATGAATTGGCACCCATATGAAGTGGCAGCATCCTAGGTGGCAGCTTTATTGGGTACACACAATGCTGACCTGTGATGCTTAGTTTCAAATTCATGTCAAAGTCAAAATTGGAGAAATTCATGATTAGAAAGACAATCACAGGGTTAGAACTTGAATCATTTAGAATTTAAAAAAAAATATTTATTTATTTGAAAGAGTTACAGAGGCAGAGAGAGAGAGAGAGAGAGAGAAGTCTTCCATCAGCTGGTTCACTCCTCAGTTGGCTGCAACAGCCATAGCTGCGCGGCTCCGAAGCCAGGAGCCCGGAGCTTCTTCTGGGTCTCCCCCGTGGGTGCAGGGGCCCAAGGACTTGGGCCATCTTCTGCTGCTTTCCCAGGCCATAGCAGAGAGCTGGATCAGAAGAGGAGCAACTGGTATTAGAATTGGCACCCATATAGGATGCTGGCGCTTCAGGCCAGGGTGTTAACCCACTGCACCACAGCACTGGCCCCGAATCATTTAGAATTAAAGTCAATTTTGTTAAAAAATTTTTTCCTTAAATTATTTATTTAAAAGGCAGAGTTAGAGGGAGAGACAGAGATCTTCTGTCATCTGTGTCACACCCCAAATGGCCAGGACCCAGGAGATTCTTCTGTGTCTCCCATGTGGGTGGCAGGGCCCAAGCACTTGGGCTGTCCTCTGCAGAGAGCTGGATAGGATGTGGAGCAGCCTAGACTTGAACCGGTGCCAGATGGAAGATGGCCCAAGTCCTTGGGCCCCTGTACCTGCATGGGAGACCTGGAAGAAGCTCCTGCCTCTTGGCTTCCAATTGTTCAGCTCTGGCCGTTGCAGTCATCTAGGGAGTGAACCAGCAGATGGAAGACCTCTCTCTCTCTGTCTCTGCCTTTCTGTAACTCTGCCTTAAAAATAAAATAAATCTTTTTTAAAAAAGTGTAAGTTAACTTAAAATTTAGGAGACATGGTCAGAGTCATGCTGAAATTCAATTTTTTTTTTTCTTGACAGGCAGAGTGGACAGTGAGAGAGAGAGACAGAGAAAGGTCTTCCTTTGCCATTAGTTCACCCTCCAATGGCCACCGCGCCTGGCGCGCTGTGGCCGGCGCACCGCGCTGATCCGAAGCCAGGAGCCAGGTACTTCTCCTGGTCTCCCATGGGGTGCAGGGCCCAAGCACTTGGGCCATCCTCCACTGCACTCCCGGGCCACAGCAGAGAGCTGGCCTGGAAGAGGGGCAACTGGGACAGAATCTGGTGCCCCGACCAGGACTAGAACCTGGTGTGCTGGCGCCGCTAGGCAGAGGATTAGCCTAGTGAGCCGCGGCGCCGGCTGAGATTTAATTTCAGGGTCAAAGTTGTTAGATGAGGTGGAAGATCATGGTGTAGATGAAGTTTTTTTTTTTTTTTTTTTAAACATGCTTAATGTTTATTTTCATCTGCTTGAAATGAAGAGCAATGGAGACATAGAGAGAGTGGGGGGTAGGGAAGAGAACGACACCTGCAGTTACCAGGGCTGGGTCAGGCTGAAGGCAGAAGGCACACCCCATCTGGGTTTCATGTGGGCGGCAAGGACCTAAGCACTTGAGTCATCGCTGCCTCCTAGGAGGCATTAGCAGGAAGCTGCACTGGGGGGCAGAGTTGCTGGGACCAGTATGGGATGCAGGTGTCCCAAGCAACTTAACCCACTGTACCACAGTGCACACCCCTCCCTCCAGAAAAATTGACAACACACACCGCCACCCTCCAAAAGGTTTTGTGTTTTTTTGTTTTTGTTTTTTTTTTTTTTTTTTTTTTTTTTTTTTTTTTTTTCCCATTTTATTTGAAAGGCAGACAGAGAAAGATCTTCTATTTGCTGGTTCACTCGCCCAGTGCCCCCAGCAGCCAGGGCTGGGTCAGTGCAAAGCCAGGAGCCTGGAACTCAGTCGAGGTGTTCCCCATGAATGGCAGGGACCCGAGTACTGGAGCCATCCATCATTTGCTGCCTGCCAGGATGTCCATTAACAGAAAGCTGGATTGGAAGCAGAAGAGCCAGGACTTGAAGTGGATACTCTGAAATGCGTGTGAGCATCCCACGTGGTGGCTCTAACCCCTGTACCAAATGCCTGCCCCGTATGAAGTTCCAAGTCAGGATTAAACAAGGACAGGTTCAGGAGGGTGACCAAAAGGAGTTTCAAGGTTAATGTGATGTCCATGAAGATTTCCAGAGTTGTGATGGAGAGCTGGTTCAGTATCAAGGTCAGGTTCATGTTAAGGTAAGAGTCAGGGTGAAGCCATGGTCTTGGAGTGTGTGTGGTAGAGCATCAGGGTCTAGATCAGAATCAGTGACTCAGAGTGAACATAAATGCCCCCTGGCCAGTGCCGCGGCTCACTAGGCTAATCCTCCGCCTGCGGCACCGGCACCCCAGGTTCTAGTCCCGGTCTTGGCGCCGGATTCTGTCCCAGTTGCCCCTCTTCCAGTCCAGCTCTCTGCTGTGGCCCGGAAGTGCAGTGGAGGATGGCCCAGGTCCTTGGGCCCTGCACCCCATGGGAGACCAGGAGAAGCACCTGGCTTCTGGCTTCAGATCAGCGCGGTGCGCTGGCTGCAGTGGCCATTGGGGGATGAACCAATGGTAAAGGAAGACCTTTCTCTCTGTCTCTCTCTCTCACTGTCCACTGCCTGTAAACAAAAACAAAACAAAAACAAAACAAAACAAAACAAAACAAAAAAACATAAATGCCCCCACAGACATGGGCCTCAAAACAAGCTTACAGAGTTAGAGCCAGTTAGGATGAGACTAAGCGTTAGTACGGAAAAGAACTCGTACTAAATGCATGCGGGCTCCCCTGCTGCCATCTGACACTGGTAACCCCGCACGGCATGGTGGTACAAAGCGGGAGGCGCGTGGCACGTTCTTGCTGCGAGATGCATGGTGGGATACGAGGCACATCCTGCTGCACAGCCCTAGACTGTCATCAAAGGTCACCTCTGAGAACTGGGTGCTGTTAAGTGACAGCAGCTTAAGCAGTGTGGCCTTAACGCGAAGAGGAATTAGAAGGAATCTGAGGAAGAGTTTAGATGAGAATCCCTCTTAGTACGACGACTTGGGTATTCCCAAATCCAACTACTCCTAGCTTCCAGGGGCAAAGCAAAGTGAGAGTAAGCCCGGCGGCACAGTGCACGCTGGGCAGAGGGCCTTTGCGTCACCCAGGAGGACCACGGAAACACATCTGGACTCCTGCTGCTACTTCCAAAAAGTAGCTTTACTGCCTCTCAGCAAACTGAGCTGAGAAGGATGCAGCCGCAGCTACGCAGACTTACCTCGGTTCACATCCTCGCTCTGAGGAAAAACACTCTCCAAAGAAGCTAAACCAGTCTTAGAGCTGTCAAAAGCAGGGCTCATTATCACGGCCGACTTAACTTCCAAGTCATGATAAAAGTCCCATTCAAGGTCATTTCAACAGGAATCATGTTAGGATGATGGGGGTGAAGATCAGGGATGAGGCAAGTTTAAGGTTAAGGTTAAGACCAGAGTCAAACACGGTAATGATTGAGATCAGGGTCACTTAGAAGGTTTTGTTCAAGGTCACTTCTAAGTTAAGGCAGGTCCTTTTTAAAGTGATCATCAGTGTTAGGATGAGGGTAGACATCAGAAGTCCAGTCCATTTTAATGTCTCATTCTAAGTCAGGACCAGAGGAACGGTACCCTGATTCATGGCTGTGGGCATCACTGGGCCCTAAGCTGGAGGGGACTCTGCTCCCCTGGAGACCAGTAACAGCCGGTGCAGTCCAGCGTGAAACTTGGCCCTGGAGAGCACTGAGGCAGTGCATGGCAGCCAGCCTGCAGCTGTGCAGCTGTAGGTGTGCGTGGTCGCCTGTGGGGCAATGCTCACACGTGAGGTGTGCACCGTGAGGCATGAGCAAAGGCACTGAGGCACCTGAGGGAGGTGGAAATGGAGACAGACACAGCAGAGGAGAACCCAGGGTCTGAGGCAGTGAGGCACTTCTGCAAAGCCTCTGAGGTGGCTTACATGTGTCAGAACACAGGGCTTTGCCGCTGAAAAACACAGAAATATGTGGTATCTAAGTGTTGGTAACCAACTCAAGGAAAAGACACGCAGGGGCGAGTGGTGCAGCACTTGATGCCCGTGCCCTGTGTCAGCGCCCCTGTGGGTGTCTGGGTCTGCTCAGTGTGCATGCTGGGGGGCAGCAGGTGTTGGCCCAACCTCTGGGTCCCGGTACCCACGTGGAAGATCAGGACTGGGTTACTGGCTCTGAGCTCTGGGCCTGGGCCTGGGCCTGGGCCTGGCTGGCTGTTGTTGCCTTGAGAAGTCTGCTTTTTAAATAATGAAAACAGACACCACAGGGCTATGGTTGTAGCTACACCTGCAGGCTGTGCCTGCCTGTGGGTCAGCAGCAGTTCGCTGCTGCTCCATTCAGGGTTCCCACATCTCACTGCTAACACTGAACTAGGGACAGGTGTCAGGACTGGCCGCCTCAGGGCAGCCTGTGTGTCCCGCAGCACCCCAGTGCCTGGGAAAGCACTTGCTCTGTGAGCCAAGGCTCTGGCAGAAAGAAGGCAGAGGCAGATGGTCTTGTTCTGGTTAAATTTTATTGGCATCACGTTCATCTCTTTACAGAAGAACTCAGCCCACACCCTAGAATGTAGACCTTTGGAAAAGGGGGAAGTGCTCCGTTAAGCAAGCTACAACGCAGGGCAGGTCCTAGGAGGGGGACAGAACTGTCAGGTTCCAACCAAAGAAACAGGTGCATTAATGATGGGCAGTTGTACGGTGATGGGGAGGAGAGGAGAGGCATAAGAGGTCTGCTAACCTAAGGACACCACAACCCTGAAAGGAGCGCCTTCTAGAACAAAGGTAGAATCACCAGGACAGACGTTAGGGTTTCCCTTCCCTCCTGCAGCAGGATGCTTATATAACAGGGGCGTTGTAAAGGGTGGAGCAAGAAAGGAAACGAGAAAAAAGGGAAAATGAAAACTCCAATTTTTGCAGTAACAGCTGTTTATCCATTGCACACACCACTGTATTAGGCAAATCAACCTTTCAGAAAATTTAGACACAGAAGGGATCGAGACAGTTTCCCCCGGAGAGACGAAGAGCATTCTGGCTCTCCAGTCCTTGATAAAGGCGCCATCATTCGTGCATCTACTGTACAGAACACTGCCACGATTGGATGTCCAAGTCCCGAGGTGCTGACACTCTGTAATCCAGACAGGGTTCAACCCTCCATCTCACACACCTGCATTACAGGACTTAACACATAATCCAAGAATTTCTTACACTAATTTATACATTTTTAATTGGTTGCATATATTAACATGTACTATAAGATTTTTTTCTAAGAAGCATTACATAATAAATGGATACTGTAAAAAGATCTGATTAGTTAAAAGTAACAAGCATTAACAGATACATACAAAACTCAGCCTGATGAGACTGGGTGTGAGCCTGTAACGAAGCGCGGGGCACCAGCCTTCCCAAGGGGCAGCCTTCAAGGAGGGGGCGGGGTATAGGGTAAAAAGACCACAAGACCGTTAAAAAAATCAGATAACTAATTGGACAGATTAACTGTAAACAGTTCTCTCTCTCCAGTGGACACAAAGAATAAGCTTCCAATGCTGACTCCACGTGAGAACACGCTGTGCGGCCGGCCTGTCCTGCAGCCACACACGAGGGCTCATGTGGTGGGCGGGCAGGCCCCTAGGAGCTGCCCCAGGCATGGGCTGGAGTTTGCCTGCTCGCATCAGATCTGTGTGTGAGAGAGAGAGATGTGTTGGGCGTGGCTGTCTGGAGGGTTTCTTTTGGCAGCTGGAGGTGGGAGATGACCTGTTGGTTCAGGAGAGGAGAGGGGCTTGTGTCTGAAGGCCTAAGTGTGTTCTTGCTGTGAAGACTCTGTGCTCTGCTCTCGCTGCCTCTTCAGCAGCTGCAGCTTTCTGCGGAGGTCTTGGCCCGGTCGTTCTTGTCCAGTTTGATGGGTTCCGGAAATTCATTGTACAGTTCCACCTCCGTTTCCTGGGCAGAGAGAGAGGGGAAGGGGTTGATTACTTAAGACCCTTTCTATGCAGGAGTCTGCCCAGGGAGGGGAGGAGGGGGCACTCAGGGCGGCTGCCAAATGAGTGTGAAGAGGGAGACTGGGGCGGGAGCAGCACCACCGGCACAGGGCGCGCAGGCTGCCTGGGGTCACACGGTGCTTCCCGTATGGTCTGCAGAGTGTCTAACTCGCCAGGCAACCCTGGTGGATGTGCTGAGGCTGGGCGCTGGCTGCTCCTTTTGCTCCCGGAACCCCTCTGCACCTTGCCTTCCTGCACTCGGCTGTCAGACGGATGCCCGGTGGCTAGCATTGCCTTTTCTTACAAAGGCGTAACCGACGTGGGTGTCCTGAACGCCGCCGGCTGAGCGGCACGGCCGCGTGTTGGGTGGACCACGGCGCCGCGGCAGAGCTCTCGCTGAGTGAGCAGGTTTCCACGGAGGAGCAGCTTGCTACTCTGGGGTGCAGAGAATGCGCCCCGTCAACACCACGCACCAGTGTGAGTGGAGGTAGAGCTGGGCCGTGTCTATTCACGGCAGATTCTCTAGAAGCACAGTAGCCATGGCAGTAGCAAGCCTCTAGGAACAGTTTTAAACTCCCACGCCCAGAGCTGTGCAGTTCCCTGGCTGCGCGTGTATTTGCGAAGCTGGCAGCCATCACACATCAGTACTCCTCAGTGGTCACTCCCAGTGCACCACCTACCTCGAGTCTCATAGCTTTACCTACTCTAGACATTTCACTTAAAAATGTTTTTAGAAACAATTAAAAAGAGTTGGGGCTGGCATCCCATAGGGACACCAATTGGGAGTCCCGGCTGCTGCTCTTCCTCTGCTGTGGCCTGGGAAAGCAGTGCAAGATGTCCCACGTGCTTGGTCCCTGCACCCACGTGGAGACCCAGAAGGTCCTGGCTTCGTTGTGGCCATCTGGGGAGTGAACCAGCAGATCGAAGACCTTTGTCTCTCCCTCTCAATGTCTAAAACTCTGCTCTTTCACTTCTCAGGCAGCCGAAACGGCTGGGGCTGGGCCAGGTCACAGCTAGGAGTTTTATCTAGGTCTCCCATGTGGGTGGTGCAGGGGCCCAAGTGCTTGGTGGTCCATTTTCCACTGCTCTTACCAGTTAGGCCCCAATGCTGGACTGTGATTTAAATTTTTAGTTATTTGGCAGGAAAAAAAATTGAGGCAGAGACAGATCCTATCTTCTGGTTTACCCCCACATGTTAGGATCACAGCGGGAGTGCACTCCAGATCTCCCACATGGGGGCAGGAACCCAGTTACGTGAGCCCTCACCACTTCCCACTGGCGGCAAAAAACCGTAGTAGTCAGGTCCAGAGCTGGCTTTTGAGCCCAGTAACTCCCACACACCACCCAGGTGAAGGGCCTAACCTGGAAAACCTCTGAAGTGTTATTTCTCATGAAGCAGAATCCTGCGAGACAGGCTGCTCACTTCCCTGAGCACGCACGCTACAGCAGGTGCTGGGCTGAACCCCATGGCAGGGGTTGGGGAACCCAGTTTTTTGTTTACTCATCAGCTGATGGACTTACACACAGTGACAACCACATGTCCTAGTCACCCAGTACCGCAGAAGAGCCAAACACTGAAAATCTTACTGTAGGCTATGAAACAAGACCTATAAGCTGTGAAGAAGAAATGTTTGTGTCTCCAGTTCTTACGTCCAGGGAACGCGCACAGCGAGGCTCAGCGTCCTCGCCACGAAGAGGGCTCTCAGGAAAACCCGACTCTGCCAGCACTGTCAGCCTGGATTCCAAAACCGAGCCAACAGCATGTGTGCGTCCCAGCCCTGCGCAGGGACCCTGGCACAGAGCCTGAGCGCACCAGTACAAGAGCCGAGACACAATTCCAGTCCAGCTCGCAACAGGGTTTTATTTGGGGATGAATATAAAGGAGAATGAAACGACTACTTTAAATGGAAAACCAGAAACAAGAGTGAGTGAGGGACAGTCTGTCTTCGGCACTACAGAGGCGGCCCGGGCCGGCACAGGAGACCAGAAATAGATCCCAACATCCACAAACACTGAGGACAGCAAAGGTCACGTTGTGATCCGTTTATGTAACAAGGGACTATTAATATCTGAAACAACCAGTTCTCTACCTCCGAGAAGAAAGCCGAGTCCCTTACTTCCTGTCCTAGGCAACGTGTAACCTCCAGGAAACCTAAGACGTTTAACACGACGTACCTGCCTGGAGACTCCCTCGATTCTTCACAATCAGCTGGCTTGTAATTATTTATCCTTATTTCACTGTTAATATGCCAGGAACGCACAAGAATGGCCGGGTGTCCAGCCAGGTGCTATGTACTGGGCCTCGGCACCACCCAGGTGACTGCTGGCATTGGACAGGGATGCCTGCTGGTAGAGATAGGGACTCGCAGGCAGAAATCAAGGAATCATAAGGTGACAGGGACACAGTCACCAAAACCAAAAACTGACAGTAACGCCGGGGAACAGGTGGAGAAATTTCTTAGCACACATTAGGATTCTCATGCGATTACATGAACATTACAGAAAATGCAAGTTATTAAGCGAGGTGTGGGGTGTGGGGTGCCCTGATCTTCATTACTGCAGAGCCTGCTGCGCATCTGGGGGAGTGCAGCCCTCAGGGATGCCAAGATTCTCCCAGGAAGGACAATCTCCCTACCCACACAGCTGGTGGTGTGGCACAGTGGGTTAAGTCGCCACTTGGAATTCCGGCATCTGGGACAGCAGCCAAGGATGGACTGAGTGTGTGGGCCCCTGCACCAGTGTGGCAGACCCAGAGCCGTTCCAGGCTCTTGGCTCACCCCAGCCATGGCAACCATTTGGGGACTACCTTTCAAAAAAACTTTTTTTAAAAAAAGTTACCCAACAGCTATGAATAAAGTTTTTCCGCCTTTTCTTTCTTAGGTGCCTGTTTCCAGGCAGAAAAGTTACTTATTGACAGCTAGTCACTCTGAGCCCCGGGAGTCCACCTCATTTAACCTTCGCAGTCACCTGGTCAAGCAGCTGTCATTTTACAGGTAAGGTGACGGAGGCTCAGATGGGCGGCAGAGTGAACTAAAGTTTATCTCCTCAAAAACAAGCAGCAGGGGCTGGTGCCAGGGTGCAGCGGGTTAAAGCCCCAGCCTATGGGTGCCGGTTCGAGTCCCCATTCCTCCACTTCCGATGCAGCTCCCTGGTAACGTGTCTTGGAAAACATTGGAAGATGGCCCAGGAAGAAGCTCCAGGCTTCGGATCAGCTCAGCTCTGGCCTTTGTTTGCAGCCATTTGGGAGTGAACCAGCAGAGAGAAGACCTCTTTCTCTTGTCTCTACCTCTCTTCAAATAAATAAAATCTTTAGCAGCCCAATCAGGAGCCTCCTAGCAAGATGGCGTCAGACTAAGGCTTCACTGCCCTTTCATTTCTAGAAGCTTAAGTAGAACCTTCCCAGATAAACACAGAGGTTCTGCTGGCTACACAGGTGGAGGCCGGGCTGGGCTGGGCCCGGGGCACCCACCTGTTTAAGTGCATTCCGTGCAATCGTCTGGAAGGCCTGCTCCACGTTGATGGCCTCCTTGGCACTGGTTTCGAAGTAGGGAATGTTGTTTTTGCTGTAGCACCAGGCCTGTGCCCTCTTTGTGGCCACCTGGAATAGGAAGCATGGCATGTAACATTCTGCCTCCAACCTGCAGCCATTTTTCAAGGACTGAGTCAATGACTAAATCACTTAGGAAGGGGAGATCAATGGTCAGAACACACACTAGTTAGAACTAACAAACGTGCCTAACATCCAAGAGAGCCCTCCAAATTGGCCCCACCTTTAGCACTTACTTGTCTGTTTTCGAGGTCGATCTTATTTCCCAACACAACAAAGGGGAAGTTTTCCGGATCCCGGGGACTGGCCTGGATGAGAAACTCATCTCTCCAGCTATCAAGCGTTTTGAAGGTGTTGGGGGCGGTCACGTCGAATACCAGAACGCAGCAGTCTGCACCTCTGTAGAAGGCTACACCGAGAGACTGGAACCGTTCCTGTCCTGCTGTGTCCCAGATCTACAGAGACAAAACAGGCACTCCTTGGGAGATGCTGGGCAGAGCAGCAAACGCGCATGTCTGTGTTTTGCCAGATAATGGCCTGGACTATAGGGCTACCCGCAAAGACAAGTGACTTCTGAACCAGAGCACCCCCACAACTCCCACTGTGTGTCTGGGGGGGGGGGTCGTCACACTTGAGTGCAAACACTAGGGTGCTAGAAACATTTTGTCACGTGAACAGACAGGTAATTTTTTAAGAACTTACTTGAAAGAATTACAGATAGAGGAACGCATATATACACACACAGGCACACACACAGATCATCTATCCACTGGTTCACTCCCCTATTGGGCAGGGACAGGCTGCAGCCAGGAGCTTCACTGAGGTCTTCCCACAGGGGTGGCAGGGGCCCAAACACTTGAGCCATCTTCCACTGCTTTTCCCTGGCCATTCGGCAAGAGCTGGATTGAAGTGGAGTGACTGGGACATGTACTGGTACCCATATGGGATGCTGACATCACATTCACCTGCTATGCCACAATGTCAATTCCCATGGACAGAGATGTGAAATTCAAACTTAAGATTCACAGATTCCAGGAACCTTCAGGAGTTGATGGAAATAAAGGGAGGCGATTACTTGAAAGGTACATGTGTCATGTATGAAAAGCTCAGTATGTTTTATTTATATAGTGCAATTAAAAAAACAACTAGGGCTCAGCATTGTGGTCCAGATTAAGCCACTGCTTGTGATGATGGCACCCTGTATCAGAGCACCAGTTCAAGTCCCAGCTGCTCCACTTCTGATACAGTTCCCTGCTAATAATGCACGCGGGAAAACAACAGATGATGGCCTGGGTAACTACGGCCCTGCCACCTAAATGGGAGAACTGGATGTATTTGTTGGCTCGTGGCTTAGCCCTGCCTATTTTGGCCATCTGGGGAGTGAACCAGTAGATGAAAATTTCTGTCACTCTGCCTTTCAAATAAACCAGTAAGTGTTAAAACAACAACAGGGGCCGGTGCTGTGGCGCAGCAGGTAAAGCTACCACCTGCAGTGCCAGCATCACATACGGCTGCCAGTTCAAGTCCCGTCTGCTCCATTTCCAATCCAGCGCTCTGCTATGGCCTGGGAAAGCAGAAAATGGCCCAAGTGCTTGGACCCCTGCACCCACGTGGGAGACCCAGAAGAAGCTCCTAGTTTCAGACTGGCCCAGCTCTGGTTTTTGTGAACATTTGGGGAATGAACCAGCAGATAAAAGACCTCTGTCTGTCTGTCTCTATAACTCTGCCTTTCAAATAAACAAACAACAACAAAATACCCTGTTAGAGATCAAGAAAACAGTGACAAGAACATAAATAATGGAGTAAAACTGGCCAAAGACCAGCACCTCGCTTGGTACCATGCTAGGTTCCAGAAAAGCCTAGATCTCCTCACTGCTGCAGATCCTTCGTGGTGTAAGGATAAAGTGCTATCAAGACAAACTAGCCCTTTTTTTTCCTGACAGGCAGAGGGGACAGTGAAAGAGAAAGGTCTTCCTTTTCCGCTGGTTCACCCCCCAATGGCCGCTACGACCGGCACACTGCACTGATCTGAAGCCAGGAGCCAGGTGCTTCTCCTGGTCTCCCATGCAGGAGCAGGGCCCAAGCACTTGGGCCATCCTCCACTGCACTCCCGGGCCACAGCAGAGAGCTGGCCTGGAAGAGGCCACAGCGGCCTTTGGTGGGAGAACCAATGGAAAAAGGAAGACCTTTCTCTCTGTCTCTCACTGTTTCTCTATCTGTCAAATAAATGATGATAATAAAAGGTTTTTAAAAATTAAAAATCTTTAAAATTAATAATAAAAATAGGGGCTGGTGCTGTGGCGTAGTGGGTAAAGTTGCCACCTGCAGTGCCAGCATCTCATATGGGCACCGGTTTGAGTCCCAGCTGCTCCATTTCCGATCCAGCTCTCTGCTATGGCCTGGGAAAGCAGTAGAAGATAGCCCACATCCTTGGGCCCCTGCACCTGCGTGGGAGACCTGGAAGAAGCGCCAACCATTGTGTTCATTTGGGGAATGAACCAGTGGACGGAAGATTGCTCTCTGTCTCTCCCCCTCTGCCTTTCAAATAAATATTTAAAAAATACACACACAACCAGGACCTAAATCCAGGCTTTGACAAGTTAGAAAACGGGCCAACACTGGCATAGCAGGTTCCGCTGCCACTTAAAATGCCAGCATCCCATATAAGAATGCTGGGAATACCCACTGCTTCACTTCTGTATTTTTTTTGAAAGATTTATTTGAGAGGCAGAGTTACAGAGAGGGTTCTTCCACCTACTTCGCCACACTTCAGTCCCAGCTTCCTGCTAAGGCACCTAGAAAGGCAGCAGGTGATGGCCAAAGTCCTGGGGCCCTGCACCACGTGGGAGAACTGGAAGCAGCTCCTGGCTTCGACCTGGCTCAGCCCTGGCTGTTGTGGCCATCCGGGGAGTAAACCATTAGATGGAAGACTTCTCTCTCTCTCTCTCTCTTGATCTCTGCCTTTCAAGTAAATAAGTAAGTAAATCTTAAGATTTATTTGAAAAGCATAATGAGAGAGAGAGAGAGAGAGAGAGAGGTGTCAAGATCTGTCTGCTGGTTTACTCCCCAGATGGTCACTGCAGCCGGAGCTGGACCAGGCTGAAGTCAGGAGCCAGGAGCTCCTCCTGGGTCTCCCAGGCAGGTGCAAGACCATCTTTTGCAGCTTTCCAGGCCATCAGCACGGAGCTGGATCGGAAGTGGAGCAGCCAGGACACAAATGGCATCCCTGTGGGATAAATGCAGGCCTCGAATCTGTTGCCGTTAGTGAACTACATGGTTATTTGGAATTCTGTTACAAAAAGATGACAACCAAATCACATTAAAAAGCTGGAAAATTTAAAAATGTTTCAAAACTGTGTCTTACATAAAAGGCAGAGAAAGGAGGAACACAGCTCCCACTTACTGGTTCACTCCCCAAATGCCCTGAGGAGTGGGCACTGGGCCAAGGCCCAACCAGGAAATGGGTGCAGCTCAGGCCTCCCATGGGTGCAGAGTAACAATTCTTTGAGCCATCACTGCTGCCCCCTCGGGTCTGCACTGGCAAGAAGATACAGTCAGGACCTGGAGCCAGGAGTCAAACCCAGGCAGTGTGGATGTGCAACAGGGCACCTTAACCAACAGGCCAGACGTGACTCACTGAACACCGTCATTTTAATTTCAGTTTCTCTTCCTTCTTCCAGTAAATGACTCCTGAAGAAACGTCAACTACTTCTACCCTCTACTATCTTTAAGTTCATTTCCAAAAGCTATTTATATATCTATACAGGATAGTCCCTGTCTTAATAGTTTGACTTAAATTTCTGACTTCAGGATGGTATGGAACATATGCATACAATCACTCCCATTTTGGGGGCCGGTGCTGTGGCGCAGTGGGTAAAGCCACTGCCTGCAGTGCCGGCATCACATACGGGCACCAGTTCAAGACCCGACTGCTCCATTTCTGATCCAGCTCTCTGCTCTGGGCTGGGAAAGCAGTGGAGGATGGCCCAAATCCTTGGGTCCCTGTAGCCATGTGGGAGACCTGGAAGAAGCTCCTGGCTCTGGATCAGCTCAGCTCCAGCTGTTGTGGCCATCTGGGGAGTGAATCAGCTGATGGAAGACCTGTGTCTCTCTCTGCCTCTCATTCTCTGTGTAACCCTGACTTTCAAATGAACATTTTTTTTTAAAAAAATCACTCCCATTTTCAGTGCAGTATTCATGAATTACATGAGATATTAAACACTTAAAATAAGATTTGTGGGACCAGGGTTGTGGCATAGGGGTTAAATTGCTGCCTGTTGAGGCCGGCACTGTGGTGTAGTGGGTAAAGTGGCTACCTGCAATGCCAGCATCACACACAGGCGCTGGCTCATGTCCTGGCTGCTCCATTTCAGACTGAGGTCCCTGCTAACGGCTTGGGAAAACCAGTGAGAGATGGTCTGAGTGACTGGGTCCCTCCCACCCACATAGAAGACCTAGAAGCAGCAGCTCCTGGCTCCTGGTTTTTGGCTTGGCCCAGCCACAGCTGTTCTAACCATTTGGGAAGCAAACCAGTGGATGTAAAACGTCTTTCTCCCTCTAACTCATACAAATAAATAAATAAATAAAATTTTTAATAAAATAAACTGCCGTTTCCAATGCCAGCCTCCCATATGAGCGTCAGTTTGAGTCCCAGGTACTCCACTTCCCACCCAGCTCCCTGCTGCCTTGAGTTCATGCCCACCTATGTGAAAAGTTCAACTGAGTTCCAGGCTCCTGGCTTCAGCCTGGCCCAGCTCAGCTGTTTCTATACCACTGGGGAGTGATCTAGCAAATGGAACAGAGTCGTCTTTCTCGCAAACATTTTAGGGGCTGGTACTGTGGCTAAGTGGGTAAAGCTCCCGCCGGCAACACCAGCATCGCACACGGGCACTGGGTCAACTCCCGGCCGCTCTACTTCTATTCCAGCTCCCTGCTAACGTGCCTGGGCAAGCAACCGAAGATGGCCCAAGTACTTGGGTCTCTGTGCCCACAGGGGAGACCAGGAAGATGCTCCTGGTTTTGGCCTAGCTCAGCCCTAGCTGTGTGGCCATCTAGGGAGTGAACCAGTGGATACAAGATTGTTTTCTCTTTCTCTCCCTTTACCTTTCTGTAACTCCACTTTTCAAGTAAATAAATATTAAAATTTTCTTTTAAAAAAATAAAGTGTATGAGAGAAAGTACAGAGGATGCTGGTTTACAAGACCACATCCCACACTCGAGTGCTTGGGTTCCCCTCCTGCTTGTGGCTTCTGGTCCCAGCTTCCTGTATGCGGATCCTCGGAGGCAGCATGGATGCCTCACGTTGGGTCCCTGGCACTCACAGTGGGAGAGCTAGACTGAGTTTTTTTAAGATTTTTTTCTTCTTTTTTTATATTTCAGAGTGGCAGAGAGAGAGAGAGACAGAGACAGACGGACAATCTTCCATCTGCTGGTTCACTCCCAGATGGCTGCAATGGCCGGAGCTGTGCTGATCCAAGGCCAGGAACCAGGATCCTCCTCCAGGTCTCCCATGTGGGTGCAGAGGCCCAAGGACATGGCCATTCTCTGCTGCTTTCGCAGGAGCATTAGCAAGCAGCTGGATAGGAGTGGAGCAGCTGGGACTTGAACTGGCGCCCACACGGGATATTGGCCCTTCAGGCAGCTACGCCACAGCACCAGCACTGGCTCCTGGACTGAGTTTTTGTCTGCTGGCTTTGGCCTGGCCCAGCCCTGGCTACTGGAGAATAGACTAGCGGACAACCGCTCTTTCAGATTCTCAGAGAAACAAATAAAATATATGGGAGAAGCCTGGGCAGGGGAGACAGCACTTAAGACATTGTTTGGGACACCCACATTTCCTATGGGGTCCCTGGGTTCAAATCCTGAGCCCAGCTTGGGAGGCAGCAGCTGATGGCTCACGTGGATAGGGGAGTGAACCAAGAGAGGTAGATCTGGCTCTCAAATAGTTTTAAGAGATACAGTAGGATGTGCACAGACCATATGTAAATACTATTCCATTCTATGTAAGCAGCAGATTTTAGTATCTGAAGGGATCCTGGAACATCACCCATGACGCTGAGGAAGATTCAGCCAGGGAGTTCTGTCCTCTTAGTATCACAGTCACAATTATAAAACAGGTACGTACATACGCCAGAGCGCACTCCCCCCGCAGCCCTCGAGGTTCACCCTGTGGCACTCGGGCACCCCCAGGCCTGTGGAGGGTCAGTGCAGTAGGGACTGCTACGCTGCCTGCTGCTTTTGGAACCTGTGCTGCCTGGATCACTGAAAGGTGGCTGTAGTCAAGGCTGTTCTTTCAAATTCGGCTTTCTCCACTGGCTGCCTCTCCTCAGAACCTATTTAAATGTTTCATTATCATCATATAGACTTCTATTTATCCCTCTTTAGAATCTGGGCTTCCTGAAACTGTGGATTGGTGCCACAGCAGTTCTGGAAACGTCTTGACAAATCTCATCTTTAATCTCTCTCTTCCCTCTGAGAGGGATTAAAAGTAGGTCTCTCCTACTCAATGAATCTTGTTTTTACCTTAGCCAGCATCCCATGAGTGCCAGTTTGAGTCTTTCAAATAAAAACTATTTTGTAGAGATCTTAATTCCCCGGGTTGCAGGTTTCTGCCTATGCCTTTCCTCCCCAGATCGCTGTAGCTTGTTTCCTCGGCAGATTTAAGGCTGTCTTATTTTCTTGAGGCGAATTGACAGAACATTGTTCACACATGATCTATACACTTGTTAAGTTAGAATCACATCCCTCTGAAATCCCTACAATCCATGACACAAACCTGCGCATCAGGAAGTTCCTTCCTTCCCTTTTGCTTGTTATTTGTGTGATAAAAACACTCGACGTAAGATCTAAGCTCCCAGCAAACTGTGACGCTTACAGTATAATTACAGGCGCTAGTCTGCACACATGTGTCACTCAAACAGCCTCCTGACTTCCTTACACATAAACAAAATACTCAGAAAAAGTAGGAAAACTCCTTGTCACGATGCCTTGTTTTCTCATTTTGAGCACCTGCTGCTAAAAGCTTTTGAAAATTCCTCAAGAAGTACAGTGACAAAGCCTTTGTCCAGACAGTGGCTTTCACGTACATCCAGTCTTGGAAACCAGCGGGGGAAAGCCCAAGACCCAGTTCGTCCACTTTCCAGACGTCACTTACACCCCCTGGGGCTCCAGCCACGGTCTCTTCAGGAGTGAAGCAGTCAAGGGTCCCAGTGTCCTGGGCATGTGGGGACTGACCATAATGACCCTGACCCAGCAGGGGTTGGGCCCTGACCTCTGACCCCCTAGCCTGCATGGCTACTAAGCCAGGGTTCAGTCTGGCAGACTGTTAACTGGGGACAGCTTTGAGCTCTCTAGGTTACGTCCTTTCCCAACGTCGCCGTATGCCCTTCTGTTGCTACGGAAGACTGTGTCAGTCTAACTGCTGTTCCTTTTCAGGTCATCTGGCTTTTCTCTATAGTTGCTTTCAGGATTTTATCTTTTGCTCTTATGCAGTTTTATGTTTTGTTTAGTAAATCTGCTCAATTCTTAAAGTTGACCACTTTCTTGAGCTGTTTAATCTGCAGCTTAGCTGTTCATTTAGTTTATTTCTATGTGATTTTTTTCACTTCTTCAAGATCTACTTTTCCATATCCTCATTTTCTTTAGTGTCCCTTTCCATCGTGGTTTCTGTTCCTTTCTGAAATGTTTCTAATCATTGCAAACATTACTTGTGGTCCATCATTTCCTCATGTGCTTCTAAGTGTCCCCATGGTTGCCTGCATGTTATCTTTGTTTCTGCCAGGAGTGACAGGGGTTCGTGTCAGATTACTTATTTTTAAAGATCTATTTATCTGAAAGAGTTACAAAATGAGAGGTAGAGGACAGATCTTCTGTTGTTTCACTCCCCAGATGGCCAAAATGGCCAGGGCTGGGCCAGGTCAAAGCCAGGAGTTTCTTGTGGGTCTCCCATATGAGTGGCAGGGGCCCAAACACTTGAGTCATCTTCCGTTGCTTTTCACAGGCCATTAGCAGGGAGCCTGATCAGAAGCAGAACAGCTGGGACCCGAACCAGTGCCCATACAGGATGCCAGTGTCACAGGTGGCAGCTTGACCAGCCACACCACCACGCTAACCCCTCCTGTTAGATTGTTTAAGACAAAGATTCTGTGCCACATGGAGTAGAAACTTAGAATCCACACATGTGGATCGCAGGACTGAGATTTTCCAGCCATGAAGCAAAAAAATCCCAGTCCACACTTCAGTCACAGTTCCACCACTTCCTTAGCCTGCTTTCATTTCCTTCCCAAGTCCTAGACTGTGTGTGTGCACGCACGTACATGTGTGTGCAAGGAGCTTCCCAATGCCAGTGCCTCTACCCTGTGTACATACCCTGCCCCTACGTAACTGGTAAAATTCCCTTCTGTCTACAAACTCCAGTGCACCATGGCAGGAGCCTCCGAACTTCCCATTCCCTCCAGTCCCCTTTGTTCTTGTAAGCTGCAAACTCCTTTTCTCTCAAGCTGGACCAACCAACTGGCTGGCTTATTTAATTATTTATCCTTATTTATTCACTTACATTTATTTGTTTATATTTCAAAGAGAGAGGGAGAGACACAGATATGTCTTCCACCTGTTGGTTCACTCAGCAAATATCCACACAAATAGGGCTAGGCCAGGCGGAAGCCAGGTGTCAGGGTCTCCCACATGGGCGTCAGGAACTCAGGCTGGGCCATCCTCTGCTGCCTCCCAGGCACATTAGCAGGAGCTAGATTGGGAGTAGAGTAGCCAGGACTCAAACGAAACTCCGATATGGAATGTGGCCGTCCCAGCTTAAGCCCCTGTGCCACAATGCCTGCTTTCTGCAAGTTGCCTTAAGTTTTAGTTATATTTTTTTCCTTCCAAATATTTTATTTATTTGAAAGGCAGACTTACAGAGAGAGGAGAGGCAGAGAGAGGTCTTCCATCCACCGGTTCACTCCCCAGATGGCTACAACAGCAGGAGCTGCACTGATCAGGAGCCAGGAGCCTCCTCAGGATCTCCCAAGTGGGTGCAGGGGCCCAAGGACTTGGGCCATCCTCCACTGCCCTCCCAGGCTATAGCAGAAAGCTGGATCGGAAGAGAAGCAGCTGGGACTAGAACCGGCGCCCATATGGGATGCCGGCACTTCAGGCCAGGGCTTTAACCCGCTGTTCCTCAGCGCCGGCCCCAAGTTTTAGTTATATTTTTAAGCTCTTTCAGTGTACGTGTGATTGAAGTGGGGAAAAACTGTCATGGAAAAATTTCAAAATGCAAGCTCTGGGGGCTGGTGCTGTGGCGTAGGGATAAAGCTGCCGCCTGCTGTGCCAGCGTCACATATGGGCGCCGCTTTGAGTCCTGGCTGCTCCACTTCCAATCCAGTTCTCTGCTATGGCCTGGGAAAGCAGTAGAAGATGGATCAAGTCCTTGGGCCCCTGCACCCCTGTGGGAGACCAGGAAGAAGTTCCTGGCTCCTGGCCTCAAATCAGCGCAGCTCCAGCTGTTGCAGCCAACCGAGGAGTGAGCCAGCGGTTGGAGGACCCTCCCTCCTCTCTCTGTGCCTCTCCTTCTCTGTGTAACTCTTTCAAATAAATAAATAAATCTTAAAATCAAAATGCAACCTCTGAGCTAAAGTTGGGGGACATCTCAATGGAAGGAGACGTGACAGCAGGGCTTTGCTGGAAGCAAGGGCGCAGGCAGGAAACGGTGAGCAGTAGCTCTTCCTGCCGTTTTTCTGTGGCCATAATGGTACACGTGAATGTCCTGGATCAACTCTCAAGAGCATCAAAAGTGATGGAAAAAGAGGCAAACGCCAGGTTCTCATGAGGCCACACTCCAAAGTCACGGTCAGTTTCTAACTGTGATGATGACGCATCATTACACTGGCGGACTTGAAGTCACTATGATCACACAACTGGGAAAATCATTCTGAACCTCACAGGCAGGTTAAACAAACGTGGAGTAAGTGGCTGAAATTTTAAATTAATTAACTTAGTCTTATTTTAAAGATAGAGCGAGACAAACGCATGCATGTACACACAAAGAGATCCTCCATCTTTTGGTTTGTTCCTCAAATGCCTACTACAGCTGGAGCTAGGACAGGCCACAGTCAGGAGCCCAGAACAATCTGGGTCTCATGTAGACAGCAGGGATCCCAGGACCTGAGACATCACCTGCAGCCTCCCAGGAGCGGCATTACCAGGAAGCTGAAATCACAGAGAGCTGGGTCGTGAACTCGGGTGCTCCCAAGCAGTGTCCTGACTTCTGTGTCAAACGTCCCTGCTCGGCCCTCGCCAAGACTGGATGTGTAACTCAAAGACTGAACCAGCTGACAGCATGGCCACACAGGCATTCAGGATGAAAATACAGCACAGGGGCAATCTTGGGATTCTTTTCCAAAGGATATTAAGCGTATTTAAAAATAAAATACCTTAACAGAAGAGGGGAAAACCACTCAGAAGTGAATAGTTTATAACCGGAGTGAAGGCTTTCAGAAAGTCATACAGGGGTGGGTTAAGCCTCAGCTTGGGACACTGGCATCCCGTATCAGACTGCAGGTTTCAAGTCTGAGTCCTGACTACTGCACTTCTAATCTAGTTCCCTGCCAATGCGCCTGGGAAAGCAATGGATGATGCCCCAAGTGCTTGGGTCCCTGCCACCTTCGTGGGCAACGCCATGGCCCAGCCCAGACATTGTGGGCACCTGGGGTGTGAGTCAGCTGTTCTCTCCCCCATCACTCTGCTTTTCAAATCTATTCATCTGTCTGCCTGCCTACCTACCTACGTACTTAGTTGAAAAGCCATACAAAGGGATTTGTTCAGAAAGATTCAAGGGCAACCCTTGCGGCATTAGGCTGATACACGAAAAAACCAGCCAAGCTTCTGAGGAACACACCTTGTGGGGTCAGACAGGCTAGATTAAAATTAGAAAAATAAGGCAACAACTTTCATGAGTCCTATAAGAACACAGAAAGGATGCAAAGATTTTTTGACTTAAAACACTGGACAAGTACATTAAAAAAGGGACAAGTTATAAATTCTAGACACAAAACAAGGACCTGCAGGTGGCCAAACTTAGCAAAAACCAAAACCTTAAAGAGCAACAACAACAACCCAGGGAGTTCACTTAAATCTGAATTTTGGAGAGGTAAGAGCCCCTGCGATGCTGGCGTCCCATGTGCACGGCGTGGTTCATGTTCTAGGTGCTCCACTTGGGAACCAACTCCCTGGTGATGGCCTGGGAGGGCAGTGGAGATGCCCAGGTGCTTGGGCCCCTGCACCCACATGGAGACCTGGAAGAAGCTCCTGGCTCTGGTCTGGCCCAGCCCTGGAAGCTCTCTCTCTTTGAGTCTTCCTCTAACTATGCCTTTCAAATAAATAAATCCTTAAAAAATTCAATTTCACAAAAACCATGAAATACTTTTGGAATGTATTATCATGCAATATTTGCGACACACTTATACTAAAAAAGTATTCCCTGTTTATCTGAAACTGAAATTTAATTGGGTGTCTTGTATTTTTTTAAAGCTTTATTTTATTTGAAAGGCACAGTGAAGGGGAGGGGGGTGCAGATCTTCCATATGCTGGTTCACTCAAATGGCTGCAATGGCTAGCGCTTGGCCAGACTGAAGCCAAGAGTTTCTTCCAAGTTTCCCATGTGGGTGCAAGAAACCCAAACACTTGGGCCATCTTCGGCTGCTTTCCCAAGTGCATTAGCAGGGAAAGGGAACAGCTAGGACTTGAACTGGCGTCCACAAGGGATGCTAGTGTTAAGAGACAGTGGCTTTACCAGTTACGGCACAATGCTGGCCCCAGTATCTTGTCTTTTATCTCACAATCCTCCCTCTTACCAATTATCCATGAATACAATAGTGGGATTTGAAGACCAAGAAAGGAAAATTGCTAGGCATGAAAAAAGGATGTAAACTAAATAAACTGGCAAAGCCTGGTTGCCTCAGTTAGAAAGTGCTTACCTGCATCGTAACTAGCCTGTCATCCACCATCACCTCCTTGGTCAGAAAGTCTGCTCCTATTGTGGCTTTGTACTGGTTACTGAATTTCTTGTTCACGTACTGGTTCATGAGTGATGTCTTACCAACTCTGAAATTTGAGAAAAACCACGGTATAAATTCAAATGAAAGAGAATGAAGCCAACTTTGACATTTGCAGTTTTGGTAAAAGGAATCTGCCTGTGTTGAAGGAGAACAAACAGCCCTCAAAGCAAAGGCCGGCGGGAATCACCCATCGAGACCTTCTCCTGGGATAAAACATGGGTCCAGATGCGGTCTGATGCTAAACAACCTTTTGTCAGTTTTGGTAGAGGCAACTCAGATGGCAAAACCTAGTATTATTTCTCTCCTTCCAGGAGAATGCCAGCCCTCGCTTCTAAAAGGAGCTTCAGTAATAAGATCATTTCACTCTTCCAAAAATATCACTGCAGTCCTGGGTGTTTCTCCATTTAGCGGTTGTTATTCAGTTGGATGAAGTAATACAAGGCGGAAGCAACTGGCTCCGAGCAGACACACGCTGCGCAGCCAACTTGCTGCTTTACAGCTTCAGGTCTGAAGCAGAGGAAGAGCCAGCAAACCACCAAGCCAGAGTCCACCTGAAGTATGTTCTTCCAATGATGTTTTTCAGCAAGAACACACTGTTACAGGACGCCATCCTCGCACAGCCGGGAGCAATGCTAACCAGCCCACACCGCCTCAGCCAGGACTGCCAGAGGCGGGGAGGTGGAATCTGTAATGGAACAAGGTCTGGTGATTCGTTTTAGACAAGTATGGGTAAGGCAAGCCTAGGAACACCTCTCCATGGAGACAGCAGGCGGGGACAGGGGAGTGACCATGCACCTTGGCCCTACCTTACTGGCCTCTGACATGGCAAGCGGTAGCTTATAAAAGGTTCCTTGGTGATTTAACTAAGCCAGCCACACCAGGAACGTCACCAGCTTTTTAAAGGAGTGGCAGGAAGCTTTGAAATAGAGGCCCACACACCTGCATCTCCTGTTGTTGCTTTAATACGGGCGTCTTCAGTGAGACAAGGCATCAGAGGTCACTGCAGATGCCAATTCTGCAAAGCTCCCAGACACTGCCGTTAGTTACCTGGTGAGCAGCACACCTAGAACCAGGGGCTCAGGCTTTCACACACAGATCTGAGCCAAACACACCAAAAGGAGGCACAGTGGGCACAAAACCACAGATGCAAAGCAAGATGCCAAATCTATGGAAGCAGGACTCCCTGCCTGCCGACTTGGGAGTTCCATGAAAACGATGCTCTTTGTAGAGCTCAAGCAGTCATCCTCCCCCAAATCATGATGAAATCAGAGAACGGGGGTTACAGAAGATGCCCCGATTCACAGGGCCTGACACCCCGTGTGGTAGCACAGAGGGCTGAGCTCCAAGTCAGTCTTAGTTCCAATCCAGGAGAAACACTTACCCAGAATCTCCCAAGATGATCACCTTCAGCAACACTTTCTTCCGAGAGGTCATCTTTCAAACTAAGTGAGGAAAGGAGAAAGCACCGTGAGTATGACGACAGTAACAAGAAGCCCCTCCTATGGCCCAAGTGCTTGGGCCCTGCACCCGCATGGGAGACCAGGAGGAAGCACCTGGCTCCTGGCTTCGGATGGGTGTAGTTCCAGCCGTGGTAGCCATTTAGGGGGTGAACCAACGCAAGGAAGACCTTTCTCTCTAACTCTGTCAAAAAAAAAAAAAAAAAAAGGAAGCCCCTGCTTTGGCGCGGACAGCACAGGTGTAGGCCTTGCTCGCCTCTTTCCCAGCAGCTAGAGGGCCAGGAAAGCACAGCCCAGTTAGGAGAGGTCAAGGCTGAAGCTACTGGATCAGCATTTGGATTAATGCTCCAAACGGACTCAACAGCCTGTTCCTTGCTTCACTCAAGTCCCTGTGGGAATGCTGAGAACACTTCCACCCTCACCTCTGCTCTCCATCCCATTACCTTGCTTTATTTTTCTTCAGAGCAATCATTTTTATGTACTGTATTTGTCATCTGTCTACCTTCTCTTTTCCAATAATCTCCATGAAGACAGGTTTGTTTTGTTTGTTTTTTAAATGATGGGGATGGTGGGGAGGGGGTGGGAGAGGCAAGGAAGGGGAGAGAGATGTAGAGCAAGAGACCCTCCACCCCTGGTTCACTACACAGACAGGTGTTTGGGCCACCACCACCTTCCCAGGTGAATTAGCAGGAAGCAGAATTGGAAGCAGAGGGGCCAAGACTTCAGGCAGGCACTTGAACCCACAGTGACTTAACACCCACCCCAAAGACAGTTTGGTCCCGCATTGTACACTTGGTGTCAAGCAGAGAATTACTGTCAGCTTTTGTGATGGCGTGTGAGTACTGCTCCACTCTGCAGCTCCAGGGACCACCTTTTTTCCGGAAGACCTTTCGGGCAGGCTTCACTGCCTCTGATCAGGCAATATGGTGATACCTATCTGGGCTCAGTCCTCTTACAGCACTTGCCACACCATGCTCCAAGCACTTGTCAAGGCCCTCTTTTTTTTTTTTTTTTTTTTGGACAGGCAGAGTGGACAGTGAGAGAGAAAGACAGAGAGAAAGGTCTTCCTTTCCCGTTGGTTCACCCTCCAGTGGCCGCTGCGGCTGGCGCACTGCGCGCGGCGCATCGCGCTGCTCCGATGGCAGGAGCCAGGTACTTATCCTGGTCTCCCATGGGGTGCAGGGCCCAAGCACTTGGGCCATCCTCCACTGCACTCCCTGGGCACAGCAGAGAGCTGGCCTGGAAGAGGGGCAACCGGGACAGAATCCGGCACCCCGACCGGGACTAGAACCCGGTGTGCCGGCACCGCAAGGTGGAGGATTAGCCTAGTGAGCCGCGGCGCCGGCCGAGGGCCCTCTGTCTTAACTACCTCTCAGCTGACCCAGCGACCTTTAGGGAAGGAGCAGGTGTCAGAAGCACTGCTTGCTCCTCTCAGCACTGACCACCCAGCTTCTTCAACATTAGACTGATGGTGTCTACAGCACACTGATGCTGAACCCAGACTGCTGGGATTTGTATTCTGGCTTTGCCAACTACCTTAGGCGATTTTTTTGCTGGGGAGGAATAGAGACGTAAGACTGTTTCCGTCCTAATGATGTGGTGGAGACTGAATGAGCAACACGCTCAAGTCAATGACTAGAATACACTAAGTGGTTAGTCCACATTGACCGCTAGCTACTGTTTCAATGGGAGCCAAATACAGAAATGAATAAATAACTGAACAGAGTCCAAAAGGGAATGAGAGAAGCAGAGGATGGTCAAGGACGAGGTAATTAAGCCACACCCTCCTTCCAACTCTCCTTGTTCAACTGCACGCAAGACCACAACTAAAAGGAAACATTTGTCTTGACTACCATGCCACAGGGCGCGACAAGATGGAGAACCCCATGCTCCCGAAAGTGCCCATCTTCCACAGCTGCAAGGACAGTGGGTGTGGGCATGGGGCTCGGCCCCACCACCCACCCCTCGGGGGCAAGGCCCCCTGCCCATGCCGGGTCTATGAGGACTCCGCATCCCAGTACAACAGCAGTTGTCTAGAAAGCTCCTACTAGCTAGTGCTGGTTACAGGGCAGTGGGGGAGCACTGGAGTTCCAATAGCTGGCTTCCTTCAGTCTTCTGTTTTGTTAGTTTGTCTTATTCATCAATGGGGTTAATTCCCCAAACTATCCATTATATGCAGAGAGCACTGGGCCCTACCTTCCTTCTCAGGGACTACCATGACTGACCAAACGTTCAGTCTCAGCTAAGGTCTAGTATTACATTTCAAGCCAGAAATCACATTATGACAGCTGGGGCAAGTTTCAAACCCAAAGAAGGGACGCAGAAGTGTTGAGGAGGCTGGCATTGTGCTGTACGGGGTAAGCTGCTGCCTGTGATGCTGGCATCTCATATGGACACTGGTTCAAGTTCCTACTGCTCCACTTCCCATCCAGCTCCCTGCTAATGAGTCTGGGAAAGAAACAGAGGATGGGCCAAGTGCTTGGGCCACAGTACCCACATGGGAGACCTGGAAGAAGCTCCTGGCTCCCAGCTTTGGCCTGGTCCTGCCCCAGGCAATGTGGTCATTTGAGGAGTGAACCAACATATGGAAGATATCTCTGTAACTCTTTCAAATAAATAAATCTTCAAAAAAAAAAAAAAAAAAAGGAAGAAAAAGGTTTGCTAAGTTTTTTTTTTTTTTTTTTTAAGATTTATTTATGTATTTGAAAGGCAGAATTAGAGAAAGCAAAACACAAGATAAATCTTCCATCTACTGGTTCACTTCCCAAATGGCTGCCAATAGCCAGGGTTGGGCCAGGCTGAAGCCAGGAGCTTCTTCTGGGTCTTCCCTTGGGTGCAAGGACCCAAGCCTTGGGCCATCCTCCACAGCTTTCTCAGGCACATTAGCAGGAAGCTGGATGGGAGGTGGAGCAGCCAGGTCTCGAACTAGTACCTATGTCAGATGCCAGCGCACTGGCAGTGTCTTTACCCACTATGCCAAAGTGCCAGCCCTGCAAAGACATTTGTAACGAAAATATATTAAAGTCAGTAATTTTGAGATTGGGAAAAAGGATTTGGATAACATGATTTGTTAATAAGCTTTTCATGACTAAACCAATGTTAGTTAATACTATTTTAAAAAATGAACAGAAATACACTTTTGCATCCATGTTTCCACACAACAGGTTTCATGTTGCTTTTCTGTGCCGTGTGTTTCTGCCCCACGGAGGCCTCCAGGAAGTGCCCATGTGGCCACCTTACATGGGATGCAGAGTACGACAACCCAGAGTCGCTTCCTTCATTTTTAGTCCCTGTCACAGTAAGCCCAGAAACCACCGAAGGACGAAGCCCTGAAGCCACCTAAATCAGCACTACAACAGGCGCACATCCTAAGCATACAGTTTGGCATTTTGTTCTTCCTACATTATCATTCATCTTTGTTTCTAGCGCTTGTTTTCCATTATAATCTTAAAGTCTAATGTTCCTTTGAGTGAATTAAGCATTCAAACAGCCATTCTTGTTCTTCAGTGTATCAAAAATACAGAAAAACTGTCTATAATAAATAGAAAAAAATTTCTTCCAATTCATCTACCTGTTAATGCACCTGGGAAGCAGTGGAGGATGGCTCAACTGCTTGGGCCCTGCCACCAATGTGGGAGACTTAGATGGAGTTCAGGCGCCTGGCTTTGGCCTGGTCCAGCCTAAGATGTATTTGTGGAGTAAAACAGTGGATGCAAAACCATTCTGTCTCTCCCCCTCTGTCACTCTGTTCTTCAAATAAATATAAAGAAATCATCTTTTTTTTATTTTTTTTAAATAGGGAAACATTTGGCCTAGCAGTTAAGAGGCTGGTTAAGATAACTGTGTTCTACACCAGAGAGCCAGGTAGAAACCTCTCTGCTCCTGACTCCAGTTTGTTAACGCAGACCCTGGGAGGCTACAGTGATGGCTCAGGTGACTGGGTTCCTGAAACCCACACAGATCTGGATTGAGTTCCTGGCTCTCAGCTTCAGGTCCCAAATCAGGGCACGGCAGGCATTTGGTGAAGCAGTGATGGGAGCTCTCTCCGCCTCTCAAATAAATAAATAAATATTTTTGAAAACATACAGAAAACACTAACTATGGACTTATTTCCTTGGGATACAGCAGTATCTGGGGGATGAAGTGGGGAGATCTTCCCAGACTGCGACTCCTAAGACTGTCACTGCAGCACCCTGCTGATAAGCACTGGCAGAGGGTCACAGACGGCAGGCAGGGTAGCAGTGCCAGCTCTTGCACAAGACCACAGAGCCAAGGGCTCAGGCACAGGGAGACTGATGGCCTCACACGTGACGCGGAGCCCCGCTTCCACAGGTAGCCACTATCCCTTCTGCAGCTCCTCAGGCTCCCCACGAGGAATTTGTTTTTTAAAGATTTATTTATTTATTTGAAAGTCAGAGACCCAGAGGAAGTTCCTAGCTCCTGGCTTCGGATTGGCTCAGCTCCAGCCACTGCTGCTGTTTGGGGAGTTCACTGGCAGATGGAGGATTTCTCTGTCTGTAACTGCCTTTCAAGTGAAATGAATAATAATAATAATAATAATAATAATAATAAAATACCCGATGCCTGCTCAGTGGAGGTGAAGACTATGCTGCTGCTGCACTTGGTCTGAAAGCACAGTGTCTGTGAAGCCATCAAGCCAACAACGTAAATGCAGAGGACAATACTGAAACAGGAATTTATCACATCCAGGCTCACAGAGCACAAGTGGCAGAACTGGAATTATCACTTAGTCACCACACCGTTCTGCAACACCAGCTCCTACCACAAAGACTAATTCGCAGAGGAACACACCTCAGGTTTGGAAACCACTCCTGTCTATACCACCGTTTCCGTTTATACGTTGTATCTGATACAAAGCTACAATGATGGCAGATTATATGAACAAGTATTCAAAGCTCACAAGGCTGAAACCATTAAATCAGTTAATATTCCATAACTCAGTAACTTTTTGAAAACATTTATTTATTTGAAATGCAGAGTAATGGGGAAAGCAAGACGGAGAGAGAGATGGATCCATCTTCCATCCTCTGACTCTGCCCCAAACGGCTGCAACAGTCACGGCTGGGCCAGGCCAACCCAAGAGCCTGGAACTTCACCTGGGTCTCCCACAGTGGTGGCAGGGGCCCAAAGACCTGGGCCATCCTCTGTTGTTTTCCTAGGAGCATCGGGGAGCAGGATCTGAACTGGAGCAGCTGGGACTGGAACCGGCACCCATATGGGATGCTGGTGTCAGGGGTGGGTGGCTCAACACCAATCCCCTGCTTGATGTTTCCAAGCTGCCCATCTAGAACAGTTGGGCCCTACCCAGAAAGTTGACTCTTCCTTTTTCCCTGGACCCTTCCCAGGGTCCAGAAAATTCAAAAAGGTACAAAAAGAAGACAAAAAGCTGCTGATAATCCTATCTACTGGCAGCAGTCAGTATTAGTATCAGGGTATATGTCTTTCGATTTTCCCTCAAATGGTTCAGGTTAGACTGTATATTAACTTTCCACCCTATTTTTCTACATTAAAT